ATTGATAAAGTAGAATGAGATAAGTATTTTATGTTAGCACCATATATACTTAATCTACTTAGCAATCAATACCTAAAAAAATTAATTTTATAATAAACAAGTCTTAAGGTTGAACTTGAACTTTAACATTGAAACTATGACTATTATGTAAAAATAATTGCTTTTGTTGTTTAAATGTATCTAAGTTAATTTCATCAAGGTATATTGTTAAGAAATAGCATTTCAAAAGTGATAGTAGTGGATAAATTTATAATTGCTTAATAATAAATATGTATGTATTTACATAGTGAATGTTTGGATAAAGATGGTATTTTACATTTTAAAATAGATGAGAATTAGCTTGATGAATTTAATGTTTGATTTTAATAACTTAAAAGTTATGTAGGCTTTAGTAGTTAAGGAGATAAAGAATTTAAATTTATTTAAATAAATAAGTAAAAATTAATTTATGAAAGAACTATTTTCAAGTTACATGTGTAGATTATATGATTAATTATTAAATGATAAAATTATCATTATTTAAAATTTAATTTATTTGAACTATAAATTTAGGCAATCATCTTCATCAATATTAAATTAAATATAAATGTATATTAATAAAGGCTAAACTATCTAAATTAAAGAGGTGAATTGATATTATAAAACATCAGAGCTAAATTATAAGGCATTCTCTTAATTTTTTAATTAAATATTGTTTCATTTTTATTATTAAAATGCTCCTATTATAAGCATTTAAACCAATAATTTATTTTATTTATGAGAATAATAATTAAAAAATTTTGGGAAAAATCATATTAAAGAATTACATCATCATATATATTGATTGAACACAGTTTGAAAATAAAATTTAATTAAAAGTTTGATAGAATTCTTAATTATACTTAATCAAATAGAAAGAAAATTATAAAATAAATTATAAAATAATCTACTTATTTATGAAATCCTAAAAATCTGAAAAATAAACTATTATATTAAGTATATATTGTTTGAATTACTCATTTTTAATAATTTCCTCTATTTTTTTTTCTTGATTATTAAAAAATAATAATAATTTTCCAAGAATCGTCAGATATTTATGAATTTTAAATTATTCTAATCTTATGACGATTATATATATTTTGTTTAAATGGCTCAGGGACTAAAATTTCACACTAAAATAATAATTTATTTTGTAAATTCAGCAAAATACATATGATTCTTGTTTAATTTAAAAATTAAGACAAATATTTATCTAACAATATAAAGAACTAACATCAGCCAACTAAAATTCTACATTTTATATTTAAATCAAGAAGTGGACCCTTTTTTTATTCTGGATTAAAAGTCCTCTGTAAGAAACATTCTTATAAAATAAAAAGGTTTTATATTAATCTTAGGATCAAATTTATTCTAGATAAAGTTCAGCTATAACTGATAAAAAATAGTTGAATGCAAATAGGCTAGAATTTTGAGAACTCAGTATTCATTCAAGTCCCTCATTCTTGAAACTTTAAGATAATTATTAAAGCTCATATTTTCTGCTGATCTAATTGAATCTTAGAATTAATTCAGTATTTATAATTAAAGTGTTAACAAGAGTTAGGTATGTGTAATGAAGAACTAATCTATTCAATAAAAATAAAGAGTATAACAATATCTCAATTAAAATTAAGAATCAAAGGAGGCAATATTATATAAAAAAAGCATAAAATTAAATATTAAAACTATGATTCCTTAATATGTATTTTTCCAGTTTATTACGGATATATTAATTTGATAATCACTATGTTTAATTTCATTATTTTAAACCAAATTAGATGCAAACAAAAGAAGAAATTATTTTTAAATCTGAATGCATTTACCAGCTTTATTAATATCTAACTATAACATTTCATTAAAACTATTGCTTTCAATAAACCATCTATGTATTAAACTCGATGTAAATTTACTTGAAATAGGATCAGAAGATTACTTAATCTATACCTATATTAAATAATTGAGAAGACTTATGCACCTTTGGATATTATGGAGTAATACATATTCAAAAAAAAGAGATGTTAAAGATAGTAAATTTGTTCAACAGACTTCATTACGAATATATTATGAAAAGTATAAGTTAATTTAATAAATCAGAAAAATATAATATAAAAGATTTGGTTTCTATAGTTGATAAGGAAATATTTAATTATTAATGATAATTAGTAAATTGTGATGATTCCATACCTATGCATTTATTAAAAATTATCAGACATCAGATACATCTTCAAAAATTTTTAAATGATTAGGCTTTATTCAATTTTGCCATATTACAGGCATACAAAATGAAAAAAAGTTTTTTCTTTCTTGTTTGAATCTAAAAGTTTCATCATAAATTTTGTTTGAATTAATCTCTTATATTAATAAAAATATTTTGGTGAAAGAATTCATTCTACTTAATGTTCTTTATTATATAATCAAAATCAAAGTTTTGCTGAAAATGTACAAAAAGAAACTTAATATGATAAGTTTCAATCTATAGAGTAAGAATAATTAGAGCGAAAGAGAATATATTGATGAGAAATTAACTTATTAGAAACTAAGGTCCTATTATATCACTTACTAGGGTTCCAATTTCTATTCAATAATTATCGACTATTGCAAACAAACTACCGATTATTATTAAACTTAAGATATAACCATTTATTCTTCTGTCTTAAATCTTAATACCTCTAAGTAATCATTTGTTAATTTTAATTATTGGCCACATTTTACATATTATTTTTATAATAAAACTATTAATTTCTTGGATACTTTTTAATAATTAGCATTCAAAAGGATAAATTAAATAGCCTCCAAAAATTTTCTAAAGTTTCCAACTCTAGTTCGTTTGATTTACCAAGTAAGTATTAATTCCAGCTTCAAATAGCTTTACAAGAGAATAAACGGCATCTCTCTCCATGGTAATAAGAGTGAAATTATAATCCACTCCATTAAGTGAATGATTCCATTCACTTTTATTGGTTAATATATTTCTGGGGCTAGAAAAGGAAATAAACCATTTTTATGAATATATATTATTCTTCCTTTCATTAACAACGATTCAATAATTAAAATATTTATTTCAATCTTATTTTCAATTATTCCTATTTGGTTAAGTAGTCCATCAACCTACTCTTGGCTTATACCTCTCCTTAAAGAAGTCGTAAACTTGATATACTCTGAGACTTTTTTATATTAAGTTAGATCAAGAATTTGGTTAATATATATTGGTTTTCCTGGTGATAACTACATACCTAACTCAGATATATCTTCCTCAACTCCCATAAAAGATAACATAAAGATCATAGTATTAAGTTCTACTCTTTTTATTTATGATACTAAGAAAGGAAACTTTATTTATTATTCACCGAGTCCTCTTTTATTTTATTGGATAAGAACAAATTAACTTTGAAATTCCACATTTTGGTATAATGTGTGATCTTTGATAATTTTAGAAAAAGTGCTTGTATCAAGACAAAGTTAAATTTATACTTTATTTAAGAATTCTCTCTTTCTAAATGTTCTGACTTTCACTGTTCATAGATCTACTAAAGTTTTTCCTTGCAAAAGAATTTATCTAAAGAGAATATCTAGTGAAAATTTATTTTTCAGTTTTTTATATGCTTAGATCAGGAAAATTATTTATGAATTTAAGTATAAAATACCTATATTACAGTTATACAATAGATATCAATTAGTATTTTAAATTGATTAAAATATTAATTAAATCTGGAATGCTGAATTAATGTTTCTAAAGCAATTAATATGTATTTTTATTTATTTTAAGTCTCTATCTCTACAGATTATTAAACCTAAGAGGAATCATTGATTCATAAGTTAAATATTTATCATATTGATATTAAAATTTCTTAAATTATTATTTTACCTAAGAAAAATTAATTTTTTAGCAAATAAAATAAGATCAGATCAGAAATTTGGAAATACATCTAATTCATTTTCATAAATGTTAAAACATAAAAGAAAATTATTTATTACACTTGATCAAATGGTAAAAATAATATGTTTATTTCGTCAATTCATTTATTCAAGAAATTTAGTAAACCATTTGATTTCTAATTAACAATAAAAAAATAAATACCTGAATTTAATGAGGCTCATAATATCATATAATAAGTTATTTTTCTCCCTTTTAAAGTATAAATAGAAAACAATAATAAGCTTATCTAATTGAATATAAAATATTTGTTATTAGATCTTTCATTTATTTAAATTTGTTAATTTCATCAATAATAATGAAATAATAATATATAAATTTTATTTAAGCATTTAATAGAAATACAAATAAAAATATTTTAATATGATAAAAGAACTTTAGATAAAATGTTCTATTGAAGGACATGATTATGTTGAATTAGCTTGTTTAAATGAAAAATGTAAAGCTAATAGAGTTTATTGTCATGAATGTCTTAGGAATGGAGATCATGTTGCTCATAT